CGGAAAACGGCGCGGTGTGGTGGCTAGCGTGATAGCAAGGAGAGATTAGGGCAAAGAGACGTGTTTTGAAATTTCGGAATTCGCGATGTGAAAGCTACAAACGTTAATGTGAATTTTAAAACGACTTTCAAGAAATTTTAAATGAACATTAAATAGGTGAACTAAAAATGTTCTAGAGGTTAGCTAGATGAGTTGAAGGAGTGCGAATCACCTTTCACCGGTATAATGTCACAACAAAAATACGGGATGCTGGACAGCCGCTCCCTGCTAGATGGGTGCAAACGGCGCCGTACCTAACTAAGAAGAGGTAGCGGGGACCTCACAATTAGACCGATTATTTTGGCACATGCAAGTTTCAAAATTCCATTTTTTTTTCTAATTTTCAGAAAACAGTTTTGAATTTGCAGAAAAGCATTATGAAATTTTAATAACGAATTGCAAAATTGACAATGTTATGAAATTTCCCAATGATGTTTGCAAGTCCACAACTGATTCCGGTGTGAAATTTTTAGACAGTCCCTTGTGGTCTGTCTCTACCCGAAGGTAAAAGTTTCCAGTATTGATAAAGATGGCCGATTAACGTTCCAGTTATGATAAGCCGATTGACGTTGATAATATAGATTCTCTGTGGGGGCGAGCGTTTTCTCCGTTCCGTTCCATTCCATTCCGTTCTGTTCGTCCCCGGTAGCAGTCTGCTGTCATCGCCCTGGTTGTGTTATAAACACAGCGCCCTTATCCCTTGCTTCGCGCCGAGCCAGGGTGGGCCAGTCCACTTGAGCCTCTCGCAGTGCTGCTCCTCGCGCGCCCTGCACCCCAACCCCTGCCCACTTACAGCTCAATCGGCACCGGGCGCCACATGGCCCGTCCACTTGACAAGTGATCCCTAGTCTTAAATTTTAAATTTGAACAACAGCGCTCTGAAATATGAAATGTGCTTGTTTTCGGGCACCCGGAAATTACGAATCCAGCAAAATTTGAATGGCGATTCTAGCATAATTTGCTGATTTTCGTTGTTTTTGATTTTAACCACAGCTTTCCGTAACAAGGGCTCCTGGGTAAGGTGAAAGTATCGCGTTTTGATAAAGGTTGTCGTTGCCGGATATTGCCAGTTTTGATAAGAAGATTTTCACTCTCGTTTTGATGCCTTATTGAATTTAAAGATACTAACCTTAGCGCCTATATATTTTAAATTTGCTTTTGGAGCTGGACTGTCTCGTTACCGGCCGGCAGGCCAGTTTTTTAACAGTGTTGCAATGGCATGGCTACACATTTAGTTGTCAGGGGACAAATATCGCTTTTTCTTCGCATTCGTTGGGAGGACTATGATATTATACTAAGTGTTACTAAGGCAAAATTACACATTTGATACGATTGCCGTCACTTCGGAAAATCAATATTTTGCACAAAAAAATCCTTAGAAATTTAACGGTTTTCTGGCACAATGAAACACAAATGATCCCCGCAAAACTAACAGTATAAGTAGGATTTAAAAGGCAGCAGAAAAATATTTTCACAATTTATAGAATACTGCCCTAAATTTTTCGGAGCACTCAGCTGCAGCCCATGAGCGGGGGTCGCCGCGATGCCGCGCAAAGACGACAGGCTCAGCTCATCCCTCGACAGCAGCAGATTTTGATTAGGGGGTCTGCTCGCAGAAAACAAGCTATGATTACGTGGGGCGCGGTGCGGAACGCGATCCGCGCACGCCGGCAACTTGGCGACATTGTTTTGCTCTCATTTCGACAAGTTGGCCACGTGACGTGCGCATGCACTGCCACCAGGAGGGCACACAACATGGCGGAGTCTTTACCCAACTGAAGGGCGACCGAATGCACTACTGCAACTGCACGTCGTGATACATGTATACTCCACAAAGGTACCTATTCATGCCATTGTCCCCTCTGAAATACCTAAAAAATCAAACGAACAAAAAAAAAACCTCGCCACGTTGTGTATGCAAACATGCCTAGACATCCATCAGCCTGGCAGATAGCGCGTCGTGTTTTGGAAAGCGTGGCGCCGCGTGGCGCCGGGCCGACCGCGCCGAGCCACGCGGAACAACGGGCCATTTCACGAACGCCACCGCCGTGGAAATGGCCGCCACTCGTCTCTCGTTAAGTAGCCGCAGCCCGCTCTGCAAAATCAACAACGTGTCGTCACGTCAACAAGGGGTGTAAGAAGAAAAAGGGGGAAAACGAAACCGCGGTGGCGGAATTTTCTAAAGAAGCTATTATTTGTGAATGTGTGAATAGAGCGCCCGTCATATCGGCAGGAGACGCAGCGAGAGCAGTTTAATGCAATTTAAGTATAGGGTTGATACAGCTCACGAAAATTTTCAGTTGTTTTTTTTCGCCCTGCGTCTCAGCGATGTACTATTCTGGCGATTGCGAATGAAGACGTTCGCCCATTGTTCGGCAGCCCTTCTAGCCCCCCGGCCCGGGCGTTCCCAGCGCCGCCGGACGGCCGAGCTCCGGGCCGGACTGCCTCGTGCGCAACGAGACCCGGTCGGCCGCCCGGCCCGACGGCTCCCTGGCTCCTCCTACCCTTCATTGTCATTCAAAATGGCGGCGGTCAAGTTCAACGCGGCGCATGGCGAGGGTCCGAGGGCCACTCCCACTGCCAAGGTCAGGCGCCCACCGTTACAAGGGTCACTATCAAAAAGCGAAAAAAGGAAAAGCAAGGCCAAAAGCCACAAGTAGTACAAAAGGGTAAGACTCACGGGATCACCAAAATCACAGACAGATGAACTATTAGGATGTTTTGTTAAATGATGAGACTTAATAAACGATTAAAAGATAAGTAAATGTGCTACCGCAAATTTACAATTTAAATTATAGTTCGAGTTAACAATAAAATTTCGTAAATTTTACGACCACATTTTTCACAGTGTTTGACTGCAATTTAAATACTTGCAAGTGTGCAACTACTCTGTTGAGCACTTCCTACACAGTGAGCGTTCAATATCAGGAAGGGTTACAACTTACAAGTGTTGAGCAATTGCACTTAGTTCATTAGCGTATGGAAGAAGGCCATCTAGAACCTAAACATTGGTTCCCATGGTTTGATACACCATGCAAGTTGGGGAATGTTAACTTTGCATCATTGACAAAAAAAAAAAAAAAGACCGAAAGAAAATTTAAAAGAGTTTTAAAGCTTATAACTGGGTCTTTTCTTCTCTGATGATCTGCGGGACAGATACGCTACCCCCGACACCGAGGCGCATTTATAAACTCTCCACTCCGAGCTAATGTTATTCTCGGGTCGCACGCTCGGGGCCGGATGAGTTCGCCGCTCTGCATTGTCGGCGGGCCCGTTTCGCGATATGTGCGAGCGCGCGAGCTGCTCGCGTATGGGAATGTAGCGGGGGCGACCTGCACCTTTGTGCGTCATTAGCGGCCGAATCCGCGTCGGGAAAACGCGATGGAAAGTCGCAGAAAAAAAAGACTGGCTTTATTGGGTCAGCCTGAGGGGGCTGAGCCGAGGCATGAAACGGATTCTTGCTCCGCCCCATTGTGTGGTGTCCTTCAACCTCCACGTAGGATCCGCTGGGAGCCTGAGTGGATAAGAGTCCCCGTGAGTGAAAGCATATTATTCGGGCTTTAAAATTTCGAGAGAAATTCCATTTTTCTTGAGAGCAAAGTATCTTTCTCGGTTTATGCGGGAAACATGGAAAAGCAACAATACAGACAACGCAATTTCCCGGCTGATATTCCCTGTACATCCATGCTTTCAGCTTTCTTTCTCACGGACCTTTGCATCCGTAACAGACGTCAACCTTCACAAATTCCCCGAATACCACTCACTTCGTCTCTATCACACTAGGGCGGGCGTCCGTACTCTAGTCACAATAACGCGTCCACACGTCCACGACAACCGCCGCCTCCAGCAGCCCGGCCTCCTGGCCCGCACCGCGATATGCAAATTTTGGCCGGGATGCGCTTGCGGAAAGAAGAGGAAGAAGATGCCGCACAATAGGCGGAAAGAGCGGCGTCAGGTAGAAGTTGGAGAGAGGGTTGGGGGGGGCTCCGAGGCAGAGAAAGAGAGATGAGAGGGGTAGGAGCGAGCGAGCGAGAGAGAGAGAGAGAGAGAGAAGAGCGATCTGTACTAAAAGAAAGTCCCAAGCAAGCACCCCGGGCTGACCGCCATGCTGTCCGCATCTCTCCCGGCCGGCCCGCCCTCCCGCACCCCGCCGGCGACCTCCAGAAGACGAAGGCGATAATTTGACTGGTTCTGCATGAGCGGGCGGGCGAGGCGGCGGCGTCGGGGTGGACATCGGTGCGGGGCGAGCAAAACACGACCATCATCGTAGCGTCGCGGTCCAATTCAAAGGCGCGACACTGTCTGAAGGAGGAAATAAACGGTCGCACTCACCTTCCCGGTCTCCGAGGCCTGCGGGGGTTCGCGTCCCCCCACCCCCAGCCCTCCCGCCCCCAACGCATGGTGCCGTGGCGACACTCTTGGGGGCGCCCCCGGCTGCAGTCCGTCCCCCGGTGCACCCCGAGGACGGCGACACTCCGTGGGGCGGCCGTCGGGGCTCGGGTCGCCGTCATGGAGGCCGTGCCGGCCGCTGTCTGGAGCGCAGTCTTCACGCGTAAGACGACGACGACGACGACGACGGGGGGCGCCCCCAGCCGCTGGCGACGGTGCTCGGCGATGAGTAATCCTGGACGGCCTCCACGGCGGCGGCGTGATCCTGGACGGGCGCGGGCGCTGGCTATCCACACGGCACACACTGCACTGACACTGACGACGGGCTCGGTCCGGCCGAGCACTGGCCGCGCGTCCACCGCGTCCTCCGCAGATGTACGCTCCTGAACGAGGTCAGCGTCGACCCCTCGGACGACATAATGCAGATCACTCACATGGGGAACTGGAGCGAGCTCCCCCCGGCTCGGCCCGGCTCGGCCGCGACCCGACACGCGCGCTCAGCCTCCGCCCCCCGGGCCGCGCGAGCCGCCGCACAAGACAAGCGCGCGAGCCCGTGGACCAGCGGACATCACCTCGCAGTGTCACTCGGTCGACGCGCTCCTTCGGCCCTCCGCCCGGCGTGCCGCCCTGCCACTGAGAGGTGCGACCCCGGCCGGGGCCCGGTGCGGCCCGGCGCAGCAGAGCCCAAAGCAGTCCAGGCGGCGGCGGGGGCCTGCACCGTTGGCGGCAGCAGGGAGCGGAACAGTACACCCACCCCACCCTGCCCCTCCACGCGCACGGGTGTGAGCCGGCACTGGAAAAAAATAAGAGTCCGGCGAGAAGGAACCTTAGCGAAAATGACGGAGACCCGCAAACAACATAATCTCCGAGGGTACCTTTCCTACGAGGTGGATTTTTGAGCATGCATATCGTGTCGTACTCTACCAGTTAGGTCAACATGACATGTGCATCGATCATGCGTCTACAAATATTGATTCTCTCTTGCAACTTGTCACCAACATAACATGAGAGAGCACAACACCGCGACCATACTATGGTCACGACGCAGGGTGTTACTAGGGTTGAACCGACTCAAACAACATTTCGTTACATCCCTCATTATTATTCTGAATAAGTGACATTTGTCCTATGGACCGCTGTAGAACCTGCACAGTGCGAGGTAGGCAGCCCACTTAGCCTCCGCGTCTAACGGCTGCCTATCTTCAGAAACTCGCCCTTACCCAACAGGCAGCATAGCGCTCGAGCCCCTGCACAGGGTGAGGTAGGCAACCCGCTCAACCCCAGTGTCTCGCGGCTGCCTATCTCCGCACTCCAAGGCGGCCGAGAGGACCACGCGGATGCGACAAGAACTGTAAGACCGATGACCGTTAATATAAAACCGTGTGTTGGTTACGAGCGAGTTGGAACAGGTCGTTTTTTTCCTTGCTGCGCTATTCGACCTCCACATGGCGTATAGGCGACGGGCAAGCGGGTAAAGTAGAGCGAGCAAAAACGTTTTCGAAAGCATTCCGCCAGCAGTGTCACCACCAGTGATACCGATTCCGCAGCAGAGCGAGCGAGAAAGTGCGTCGCGCTGCAATCATTTTAGGGGCCGGCGGTCAGCGTCAGCGAGCGTGTGGGGGCGGCGGTGTGGGCAAAGCCGGTGCCGGTAGCCACTTTACAAAACTCGTGCCGAACCACTTGAAAAAAATATAAACGCAGCCCCGCAGTCCCAACGTCTGTAAAATTTATCCCCCCCACCCCCGCCCTCCCTAAATAAAAAATAACATCATCATTGGCAAAAAAACTTCTACAGGTTTTTAGAGCATAGTTCCATCCACATTGTTTTCAAAACAAATACGCCATGGAATTATGACACCAATACTGTACTCATATTTCAGCTTTTGATTTTTCACTGGACAAAGTTTAAACTTTAAAACTTTTTGTTCTGAAATTTCATAACTGTTTCTTCATGTAATGAAAATTCATAACCAAAAAGTAACAATAATTACATTACCAAAAACTGAAATTTCAATCTTATTTCCTTCTTTAACAGCGGGCCGACTGGACCCAACTTGTCATGGACAACACATTTGATGTGCACGACGTTGCATTTTCGCTACAATATCCGCATCATATCGAAACGGAGCGTATCCCTCTGCGGCCATGTTGCGATGCTAATAGGGGCGGGGCGGGGCGCGGCGGGGCGCGACGCCATTGTCGGGGGGCCGCTCTTGAACTTGGCGCGGGCGGGCGGGCGTTCCCACGGCGCGGCCCGGCCGCTGAGTAGCAGGCTCGCTCTCGCGCACGCCCAGACCATGTCCAGACCCGGCACCGGCACCCCCCACCCCCACCAGGTCGCTCAGGCCCCTGTGACCCGATCTTCCGTTTCGGCAGCAAGTAATTGCTCCCGTCCTGCGGAGAGAAGGGAGGGGGGGGACAAAGTAAAGAGCCGTGGAAAAGTAGCAAAACAAATAATGGTAAAATCGAGGTAAAATAAATACTGAGCCAACTACACGCCGTTGCAAACCGTGCTAAGCTGTAAGTGGTATTGTCACTGGAAGCAGTGTCACGCGTCGCACGGTTAGCAACAAGATGCAGGTGTATGTGGTACAGCAAGCCTGTGGTCGAAGCACCCAAATGTCGTTGGGTGCCAAGGTTGTTCTCTTTAATCTTATTAAGAGGGCTACAGTTATAGATATGCAGCATGTACCGCGACGCTAACGTGTAACGTAGTGCACCTAACATGTTTACAAATGTCCGTATTATTGTTAAGGCGATTTTTAAAGATAAAAAAAATTATGTAGGTAGGAATGAGTTTTTTTAAACAATTAAGAGCTCTTAAGCTCTTAAAAGAGTGTGAGATTGTTTGTCTACAAGTAGCTAATTTGAATGTTGGTTTGAACTTGAACGAATGTACAGGATAGTACAACACAATAATGAGAAGTTCAGCTGAATTAACAGCGGAGCAGCCTACCCGGGGCGGCCTAAAGTACTCCACGAAAGCCTCATCTCCTTTATGTAATAGCCCGCCATTATAATCCGTCACTAATTTTGCGCAGTCAGACAGCAGCGGCCCACACGGCGGCCGCGCACGAAACGGCCGCCCCAGACGCCCCCTCCGCCCGCATCACCTCCCCGCCGTGGCGGCCTCGCTCTGCAGGGCGACAGAGAGGAACAACGGTAGCAAACGTAGTCATTATTTGCACGCGTCCCACGCGAACCGTTCCTCGTCTGATACAGGCGCCGCCGCGGTGGTACAGGGGGCGATAAAAAAAGAGGAGTCTGCCAGTTTAGCATGCGCCATCCCAGTGTGAGAGCACGGCATGAAACTGCTGCTGCTGCTGCTGGTGGCGGCACACGCCTTGGCACAGGCCCCCCGACAGGCCCCGCATGCCACCGACCCACCCGCTGGTAAGTAGCAGCCTCCAGGCCCAGCCGCGCCCCCACGAGGCCTCCAGCAGAGCAGCAAAGCGCGGCTTTCAGCGGGGTCAGTCGGGCCGCACTAGGGGAAACAAAAAATAAGGCGTTCGTCTCGGGAACACAGCTAATGTGAGACGTGCCGTACTGTGTCATAACATCTTAAACCGTGACACGATGTACAACAAGTTTTGTCTCTATGATGGTGAGTCGCGCAAATTTATGAACACAAAAAAATAGACCAACTTAAAACAATTATAGAGAATTGTGTGAACGAAGGTAAAACAGGACAGATAATGTTCTCATATTCTAGCAAGAGCTTGCTTTTGAAGTCTTACCGAGTCTTACATTGGCCAAGATATCATGAGAGTATACAGTTTGAATATGACAGTACATTAATTGAAGACGAGATTAATTAAAACCTACGCTAACGTTTGAATATATCTAACGTAGAATTAAATGATGATTACGATTGAACTTGGCCCTGGAATAACGCGAAAAAAAAACAACCATCCCACTTTCCATAGTCGATCAAACGGACCGTCTGCACCTGCACGATCAAGTAACTACGGCACACACGGCAGCCCAAACACGCGCGCCAGAGTCGTTGCCCCGCGGCTGCTAGTGCAGGCGCGCGGGGTGGCGACAGGCTCAGGGTCATGGCGCGAGCGGCTCCCTGAACTTGCCGCGGATCAGCGAGAGCACACCTGGGAGATAAGCGAGGGCTCGGCAGCTCGCGGCGGGGGCGTGCGCGACGGGTGCTCCAAGGGAAAAGTACGACTGATAAAAAAGTGAGCCGGTGTGTGGTGTGGTGTGTGGTCCTGGAGTCACCGCATAAGCGCGATGTGTTAACTGATAAACCATGTGTTTAGCCGATAAACAATTGCAAGTGTGCATTCGGCCTGAAGAGCAAATGCGCTTGGTAAGCTAAAGGCTCCATAATGCAAAGCTTTCCAAATCCTTTGTAACTGCAAAGCATTTGCTATGTATAGCATTGATTTGCATCATTTTAACAGTGTTTTCAAATTTGTAGTAATGCACTTTATAAGTCTGAAAATCCTCGGACAGTTCCTTACATTGAACGCGTGCGTGGGTGGGAAGTGTTGAAAAGAGGAGTTTCACACTCAAAAAGGTATAACTACGGACGGAGTTGAAAACTTAAAGGAGTGCAACCAGGCAATTGTCAAATTTGTATTTTTCCACGAGTAGGACATTTTTATTTGGTCAGAAATGTTGAGTATTTTTGATGTGGGAATGCGTGTGGCTGGAGGGAAATACGCCACGAGCCGAGTGAGCAGGAGCGCTGGGGGTACCGCCGCTGGAGCTGCACGGGGTAACGCCAGTCGTTTGATCCTGCAACCACCTTCCTCGCCCTTCGCGCCTCCCTCTCCTGGCCCTTTTCCCTCCCGTAATCTTCGACTCAATTTGCAGAGAAAGGGGACCAGAATGCCGTGACTCCGTGGAGCCGATCCAGAGTGTGGATTGTGGAGGCCGGCACACCGAAGGACTGGCTGCCCGCCGACGAGGGCTTCCTGGAAATGCCAAAGAAACCCGCAGCGAAGCCGGCAGCTCCAAAAATGGCGACCGTTGTAAAGCCGAAGGCGGTGGTCCCGAAAACGACGAGGAAACCGGGAGCGACGACTGTCAGGACCGCGGCGAAAACGACCACCAGGAGGCCCTCGACGACACGAAAAGTCGCCGCCACAACAGCCGGGCCCCGAAAAGCAAGAAGTGTAGAGGTAGGTTAAAAGCCAACATAACGTAGCAGTTGGCTCATTACAAAACGTAAGCTCACAGTTCGGCTTGTTTAGGCTAAGGCTAGGCTATGTGTGTTGGATTCTAGAATTTGCTTAATGAATTATTTCCCTTTCCGCCCTCTGCAGTCGGTAGGAAGTCCACTGCCGTTCGGCCGGCGCCTGCTGTCCCTCACGCAATCGCCCCAGGTACGGTAGGACAGGCAGGTACGTACCAGCATGGTACCCGCTGGAGTACTTGGTTCTCCTTGTGATCATGAGCACGTGCATTCCCCTGTCCTTCTAGGATGACAAGAGGGATACTTTCTCGGCAAGTCTCTATAGCCTGGGAGGCATATTTTCGAGGAAAGAGAACGAGGATCATCTAATGAGGTTCAAAAGGCAGCTTTTGGAAAGCCGACAGAACAAACAGCACGACATCACACACAAGAACGGCCACGACAAAAGGCACAACGATCAGCACAACACCCACAGTGACCATCAAAATAATCAGAACCGTAATAATAATGGCAACCGTGAACACAACAATCATAACAACAATCACAATAATAACAGACACAATGAACATGATAAGCGTAACGACAATCATAATGACCACAATAATCAGCACAACCACCACCAACACCAGCCCAACGATCACAATCACAACCACCAACACGACAATAACCATAACAAAAGCCCGGATTACCATAACAACAACGACAAGCGAGACAATCAAGAAGACCACCGAAGAGACTACTCATATGACGACTACCGTGATATCACCGGCGACTACGGAGCGGAGGGCAGCGGTGAAGGCAGCGGCGGCGCCAACCCGGACGAATAAGGTACATAATTAGGAGGTCACCATCATGAAGGTTCGGCAGCATCACGGAGGCGTTAGTGTTTGACTACAAACAAAACTAACAATAGTGATGCTAATAGGCCATGCGGCACAAAGTGTGATAGCGCGCTAGTAAAAGCGCAGTGATAACTTAGATGCAAGGCGGCAGATTAAATAATTTTATTTTCTACTGTATCAACAAAGTTGTTTTACGATTGCCCAGAATTTACACAATAAATAAAATAGTTACCAGTGCATTCATGTAATCGCCTGAGTTGAGCAAGACAACTAGAGAGAGCCGGCTTGTGCAGCCAGCTAGGACCGGTCGGTTGGCTGCTCGTCGGGCTTTACTCCTGCCTCCTAGGCCACACATCCGTCTCTTGCGGCGCGAGGGAAGCCTGACGAGCTCGGCGCGACCTGGTGGGAGCTGGCTGGAGTCCCACTCCTTGTAGGAAAAAAGTGCATCCGACAAAATTTTATTAATAAAGACATGAAAAAAGCAACTAATCGCAAGGGCATAGAGTTTGCGGAGAAAACTAACACTTGGTTGCCGCGACAACGTCCTAGCCCGCGGTCCGTCGACAAGCGTGTTTGTTTACGATATAAAATCATGATAAAATGCAGTTTCGTATCCCGGACGACCAGACTTGTTACCCCTGTTCGTGTCTTTATTGTAGTAACAGAATTTTCTGCTGATCCACTTGGAACATATTTTTCTGTCTTCTTTCTCGAAATACTTCTGTGGGAACAGATTTTTATCCGTGGGTACAAGAAATAAATATTTGATCATATGCTGTAGTTATCTGGGCATATTTTGTGATGTGGTTTATAGACAATACCATTGGATGACATCTGCGAATACAATACGGATAAAATCCTTTTCACACGCTATCCTTTTTTATTGTACAGCAATTAATAGTACGGAAGCCGCGATGCTTTGTCGGCCCCGCGGTAGCGGGCGAGGCTATGGTCTGGAGCCAGACGAGGATGGGCGGCGCGGCACGGCTTAAAACGGGTGAGGGATGAATGAGGAAGGCATTGTCTAGGCGCGGCCGTGTGGCCCGGGCAGACTGACAGGGTGGGACGGGCGGGCTGAGTGCACGGCGGCAGGCGCCCCGAACACACATCAGAGAAAGCCAACGCATTCCGGTCGCCAGGGTGAGCAAGTGAAGCTCACACACACGCACACAGACGGGCGCGTGAGCGACGTCAAGGTACAGTTTAAATATTATAAAAGTTTACAGCATCAATTTCGCACACATCGCTTGCATCAACGTTGCCTGCAATTTCAGGTAGATGGTTTGCCCACAAGTTGATGTTTTTATTGTAATGAATTGCCGAGGGCCCCACAACTCTCGGAACCTCGCAGTTCAGCAGGGTACAGGGTTCTCGAAACGCTCTCACGTGAGCACATTCAAATCCCATTCAAATGGCATTAGAATGCTTTAGAAGCATATTTAGGGTGTGTTGAAATTACATTTAAATCCCGCGTTTACTATTTAAGTCATTAGAATAATTGGCGAATTATTTAAATGACTTAAATGGTAAATGAGATATCACTGTAATCAGATTAGTAATCAGATATGCAAGATTCCATGTAGTTGAGCCCACCCTGAGTTAGTTTAAGGTCGGTATTGATGTATGGATGGACGGATGTATGGACGGATGGACGGATGGACGGATGGACGGATGGATGGATGGATGGATGGATGGATGGACGGATGGGCAGTCTGGCCTGAGGTAGCTGGTTCTCCCGTCTGCATGACGCGCGACTCCTTTACGACTTGAAATGACACAGAAGGTGAGCGCCGGCCCGACGCCCCACCCCGCCCCCAGTCACGCTGATCAGTAGGACTTTCAGTTCTTCACCGCAGCACGAACGGGAGCGGCCTGCATAAGGGCGCAGCAAGTCGGGTAACTTGGGAGAAAATTACGTCCATAATTCCTGTTTTAAAAATCCGTCTCTTTGGCAGCGACAGCGCTACCTAGTAGATGTTCATAGCTCGCACCGGGAGCCGCCAAACCCGTTCAAGGGGACACACGTCTGTAGGACGCGACACGACAGCGGGGCACTTGAAGGCACGCCAAGGCGGCAGTCCGCACGGTAGTAGCGGGGCCCGAGCGGGGGAGGAAGAGAAAAGGTCAGGAGTCGCGTCAAAGAAGAGCGAGCGACGTGCGTGGGGCCGTAGGACGTCTCGCGCGTGTCTCGGCGCCGGTCCGAGGGCTCCGTTTTTTTACCACAAATATCAGTGTAACACATGGGTTACTGTAAGATTACATATGACATCATTATTATTTATATACTTTACGATAAAATTAAATCAGTAACAAACGTTACTACAGCATTACATCAGTATTGCACGTGGTACTATGAATTAAATATTTAAATCTAACATGTGTGTTGTACACATCAGTAATACGGGAATAGGTACTGCACACATTACCAATAATATTACGTCGATATTGCTTAAATATTAGTTATGCCATGGATGGTTGCCGATTGCTTGGGGCCTTGCGCCTTGCCCTACCGGGCACCGGCTCTCCCCCCCGGCCAACAGAAAGACTAGCTGGAGACTGCGCCTCCCCTCTTCAAATCACAGCGATGGGGCACCAAAGAAAAGGCGAAAGGTTAGGGATGTAAAGTTCGACAAACTGTTGCAAGGGAAAGGCTCTTTAAAATATTGTTACTCCCCTCGCGGCTCGGTTTGGCTCGGCTCGGCTTGCCTTTGGCGCTCGCGTGGCGCGGCGTGGTGCAGCGCGCCTCAAAGTGAAACATGCACTGCACAACCTGATGGGAAAGCTAATCCGGACATCCTGATCCCATGCGCGACCACGGCGCGGCGTGGCGTTGCGGGGCGTAGCGTGTCGCGGGGCGTGCAGGGGCGGGGCGTGGCGGGGCGTGGCGGGGAGTGGCGGGGCGTGCGCGACACAGAGATAGATATGCTACTTGGAGTGGCCACCTTGCCCCCCGCGGACGTTTTACTTTTTGCCTACATATATGGATTGCATGGCGTGCGCGGAAAAGAGAGAGAGAGAGAGGGAGAGAGAGAGAGAGAGAGAGAGAGAGAGAGAGAGAGAGAGAGAGAGAGAAATGCTTATAGTCGTCCTAGGACGTTTTACTTTTTTCCTGCATGTCGTGGTGGACGTCCACGAGGAGGAGGAACCTGTCCGTCAGAAGGGGGAGGAACTGCGTATACAAGTCTGGAGGAAAAGTCAGCGAACAGGACTCGCGACGTGCGAGAAAACTCTGTCTCCGCGCACCGTTTTCCTCTCTAACAATGAGCAGGTCGTGCGGATGCCCTTTTCCGAGTCTTCCAAGTCCTTTCTAGGTATTTTTACAACCGACACGGCCGCCGCCGGCCCGTGCAAACATCCTGCCGACGGTGAGGGCGCCGCCACGGCCGCGACTTTGTGAAACCCCCTCGCACTACTTCCTCGTGGGTCTCGTCGTAAGTCGTGTCTCGGATGCGGCCCTGCGTCGCCGCGCGGGAAGTGCCGCGTCCGAAATAACAGCGGCGATCGCCATTTCCTTCCCGGTGGGCCAAACGGCTCGCGAAAACGAGGCGCGCTCGCTGGCTGCTCCGCTACGTAGGCTCGGCGCTAGCTAGTTAGCTAGTTAGCGGGCGCTGCTATCCGATCCGATCTGATCCCTTGTTAAGGCTGGTTAGCTACGCGATCAGCTGTGGCGTATCGGCCAGCCAGGCTCTCCGCGGCCTGCTGCTCCAATCTGCAGATCACTATTCTCATTTGAAAGTCCCTATGAGTGAGTGCAACAGGGGAGGGGTGTAAACGGTGTTCCTTTTTCAGTCCGTCTGGTGTGTGGTGGAAAGCAGCCGCCTAGCATGCACGCCGTGTTGACAAAACAACAGCGAGTGTGAGCCCCGAGGTGAGGTACGGCACCTCAAGTCCAGCAGCGGCCAGACGAGCACTTATGCCCCGCTGCCTGTTATCTGATGCGCTTTCACGCTGAGCTTACATCGTGTGCCGCAGCGTGCAAATGTCGCCTGCTTCACGAGAGAGCCCGGAGGCGCCCGGCGTCCTGTTTGGAAGCGACGCGCCTCAAAGACGACTCGCAGAGCAAGAGGGGGCAGGGGGACCGCAGGGGACCGACGACGGGACGGACTCCGTGGAAAACGGAGAAATGGTTGGCACGAGTCGCACCTCAAACAAGGTGCCACTCCAAACGCACGCGCACACACACACTCACCAAACGTTGGTCACGCACGCCAGAACGCAGGAAAAAAAACACGAAAAATTATTGGTTACTAACAAGTTTGACATAAAAGATGACTGCTGGTATGACAGGGTTATCTCTACCGGATGGCCCCTGCTAATTAATTGATAATCGTCAAAAGAACTACGAGACAAGGATCTCTACGAAACACGGAGCAGCGACGAGAAAAAAACAACCAACAAAAACACACATGTAGTTTACGGCAGGCACAGCGCGTCCCCTGTCAAAATGAATTTGCAATACGACATATATCGTCGTCTCCCTACTCCTCCAAGGCAAAAGCTGTCGATTACTTTCTAGACGCGCCGCGCTTAGCTCCTTGCGCGACGCCCGTCGTGGCCGCGGGGCTGGATAAACCCTGGATAAACATTCCCCTCGTCACCAGTCTAGGCAGATAGGGCTTGTGCAACGCCACGTGTCCCGCACGTGTTTGACGCCCCCAGCGGTCAGATGGACCAACTGCGCGATAATTTGTGCGATACGCGTCGCGCCCGTGACATTACACGAACGGACCTGGGCGCTTGTACCGTTGCGGGAAAGAGCAAATGCTTATGACCGATGTACAGTTTAAAATGATCAAATTTTTATGTCCACAAATATCCTATCTTCCGTTTCTAGTTTTTCCTATTTTTTTATTTTTTTTAAGGGTCAAATTCGTTTTATTAAAAAAAATGTGACGTTTGCATGAGTTTGCATGAGTTTGCATGAGTTTAAATGCAAATAGTCGCACGATAAGTTGCCATGAAAATCCAATCACATCTTGCTGGGAGAAAAAACAATCCTTTTCATTTAGTTTAGCACTCCAAGGTTTCCAGTGAGCACGACAAAACGGACATCTTGATTTTCTATCGTTTTTTGGGAAAAGCAAGACGTTCCCATATATTTCTTCCGTAAGAGATGCTTGGCTGCTTGGAGACCAAGACGTCGTTTTTACAGGAAGAGGGGGGGGGGTCTTTCTTGCGCCACTCCTCAGTATTCCAGTCGAGGGGAAGGAGGAAACGGGTGAGGTGAGAGGTGGAGTGTCGCGTCGTTCTGCTCCATTTGATTGACTTTTACTCATCCTTGAGCAGCGGGGAGAAAAAGTCAAGGTGCAGCGCGAGGAGGCGGAGGGAAACAGCCTGAGAATCAGTCTCAGCTCGACCGTATCACCCAGGGTGCAGAGCGGGCCAAAGGAACGCTTTGTTATTGTACTCTGTTGTGCTCTGTCAAAAAATAAAATTTCACAGAAAATCATTTGGAGTGTCTTAAAGATCGACAAACACCATTTTGTTGACAACTGGAAAAGTAGTATACTCTGCGATATTTCCATTTTTAACGAGTGAATTTAAAGTTTTGGGCGAGTCTTAAATCGAACCGAAAGCAGGACTGGAAGGCGTAGCAGAGGAATAACCCATCCGCCTTTTCTCCTCATAATAGGTCTCGTCAGTAAATCAGGAATCGCAGTGGAGAAAGAATGGAGGGGGAAGGCGGCCGTTTTTTTCTACGCGTATTAAGATAAGGCACCGTGCATTATGTCTCTATTATAGACGACCTGAAGGGAAGGGCTTTGGAAAACAAAATTTCCCCGTAGATACGCCGAGAGGAGAGAAGCACGGAATCATAGAGAACTTCGGTGAGCTTTCTTTGTTGTAGTGTTTTTGAGTAAATCTGGACTGGACGCGGTTAGCCCGGATATCCGACAGACGGCAGCATCGGAGCATCATGAGGCGAAGCGCAGCCAGACAACCGAAAGTAAAAAGCGCAGAGTGATCGACAGGCCTGGCTGGGCCAGGGTACTCGCTCGCACTATCGAGAGTAAAAGTAACGTACGTCCGACTACCATGACCATTCATCCAGGTCACAAGAGAGTGCAAAGTCGGAGCAAAGGTCTGTTTTGGCGCAGGGGCGGGAATTGCGCTATGAATATCCGCGTAATTTATTTTCTGGCCCCGATAAACTGCAAAAGAAAAGGCCGGACAAACTTTTGTTCTTTTTTTGTCCTTTGCCTTATTAAGACACGAGCAGAATTAAATTCTTAGCGCTTAACACGCACTTGACACTTGACATTAATGCACTGGCCCAAATCGTCTAGAATATTGCATGCGTTTGAACGCTATTTGAATGTTACAACCCATTTGAAACATTTAACCCAACCTATTCGTCTACATGTCGAAAATGATGTGAAACTTTCTCAGTATATATAGACCTACAAAACTTGTGAAACACGTGTCCACTGGGTGCCAAAGTTTTCGCGATCATGGCAACTGATAGCTTCATCCTCGGATCCGCAGGCATCAGGCATCAGGCATCATCTGCATCGTGCTTATCAGTTTACGCCACACCACGACGGTCCACATATATAAAATGTTTCTGGTCTAGTTTTTTTTTCTTCGTTTTGAGAGATCTCTGACTCTGAGCGGTCGTATCAGCGCGTCAAATCTCTTGCACCTGTGAGCATTGGATGGCACCGGCGGCTGTGGCAGGCGGCAGGGCCCCGCGCATCGCCTCGCGCGTCCCCCGAACCCGGCAGCAGCGCATCCTGGCGTGAGGAGGTCCCCATTGTGGTCCACGCCCTTAGGCCCTTACGCCTGGCTGGCCGCACGCCTCGGCGGCACGCGCGTGCTCCACGGCGTGCGGTATAAAGCACGGACTCTGGCGCGCGCCGGGACTCCTACGCGGCAGGTGACTCGGTGCGGGTGTGCGACATGCAGAGGCTGTGACTCTCCGCAACCAACAGTCCAACATGGTGAGTTTACTCGGAGAGGAATGCACCAACTTCGCACAAAGGAGTTGCCCAGAAAATACGCCTGTTTATCCACTCATTTAATTCCATTCAGTCGGCACAACTTCGGGAGGCCGACCGCCTGCGAGACTCGGGGTAGGCCACCCCGCGGTGCACGCATGCACTGAAGGCAGAATGTTGCCTACCTACCAGGCGCTATGAGAGTATACGAACAGGGCACGTTCGGAACTGCGAGTTGCAGGGGCTTGTTATAATCATGCGCAGCACATTAGAGACACGAAAAGGGACTTTGAGCGGTTGCACAATTAAATTGACATGTACTAACTGCCTGTTTAATAGGTAATTAACCACTTTTTTAATGTCAAAAATGGTGTCAAATAGGCCCTGCAACTTTAAACCGTAAAAGTGATAGTGTAATGAGTGCACGTGACGTTCACGAATGAAAATGAAAACAAAAATGCGAGTGTGGGACGGGTGAGACTTTGGGGGGGTAGGGGAGGAGAGGGGTAGAACGCGAATAGAAAGGCGCAACTACAATAGAGAAAATGCAATATAACGATGACTATGGGAAATGAAATTGAAACGGGGCTCGCGGATCATGATTTTCGTGCGCTGGTACAAAAGAGGTAGGCCCCCGACATTTGAGTTCACCACGATGCGAGACCAAAAAAAAAAAAGAAACAAAACAAAATTTCTAGTCGATACGATAAAAAAAACTTTCCATCCGCACACCATTTGCTTTTTCACACACACATGAAGTCCGCGACAGGTCCTTCGACAGGACCTTTACCGGCTCCTTCCGTTTCCTAACGCCCTATCCCGGTATTTTTTTTTTCTTTTTTAAAGCCTTCTGGTTGGGTTTTCTTTTCCGGCGTCGGGTTCTTCCTCGTCCTTTCGTTATAATTGGGAGCGGATGGTCGGTCCCAGCTCCCGGCCACACTCGCGGGACAAGCACTGCTTCCCCTTCCTCTCCCCCGCCCCTTTTACTGCGACTGACGTACGCGCATTGCGCAAGGCGCCATGTCGCACTTTTACAAACGAGGATTTCCAAAACCCCCGGATCCTATGTAGTTAATTGAGATTTAAATCAAACCCCATGAAATAAAGTTTCTACACTCGAATTGTTTCGCATGTGTGCACGAGTCCCGAGTTATGTCCAGGACATCTATACCTCTGAAAATCTGTGGATAGATCGTTCTTTACATAAATATTAAAAATATTTTTATCGTACGTAAAAAGGTAGTAAAACTACTTAAATTTCCATTTAAACAAATTTTCTACGAATCTGCGTTTTCCTCATATTCTGAGACTTTCTCAAAGTTTTCTCCGGTTTTCCCCTAGTTTCTCAAACAACCCTGACATTTTTTCCGTACAAACATTTATTTTAACGCCTGGGCGGGTTATTGTTTGTTTCACATGCTAACTTCTTTCCTAGAAAATATGCACACTGCACGACATTTGCACTGATGCTGAGCAGGATTTGAACCCGCGGTGCGGTCCCGCCGGCCGGGCCGGACGCACGTAACACGTAACGCGGGGGGCACACAATGCGTCACGTCACGGCTGGCCCGGCCCAGCAGCCCCACACTGGAACAATCTCTCTCATGACGACATATTTCAAGCTTGTCGCGCCGCGCTGCAAGGCGCGGGACTCAGCACGGACTCGTGCGTCCGCTGCATTCCGTGTAGCTACACGGGGAAAATAAAGTTTCGGCGTCTGAACTACCAAATTAGCCAATGATGGTAGCCAATGGTTAAGGGTAGACGGATCGAAATTCAATCGTCAGGTATAAGAGTTCGTTGCTGCAACGAAGCTGCCACTTCAGGAGCCGCAATCCGTTTGTCCTGTAGACGAAACATCAAATAAGTGTCATATGGGGGTAAAAACAAATTGTTTCTGTTAGTTTTGATTAGCTGAGCTCAACTTAGCTTATCTGTAATTTCTGATGACTTATCATTTTAATTTATGTTTAGTTCACGTAACACGGTGGCGTGTATGCACCGAAAGAGTTCATCAGTTTTTTCTAGAATAAAGGTCCCCTGCTTGCTTTTGCTTTCTCTGAGCTCAGCAAGCACCCCTCCTCCGATTGTGCAGGGAAGACCATGCAGTCTTTGCCGAAGCTTTGCAAACAAGGAAAAGGATAGGAGAAAAAAACAGAATTTCAAATAGGGGAGAAAGGGGAGGGAGAGAGGGAGAGAAAGAGGAAGAAGGGAGAGAGGGGGAGAGAGGGGCGAGGGGGAGAGAGGGAGAGAGAGAGAGAGAAAGAGAGAGAGAGAGAGAGAGAGAGAGAGAGAGAGAGAGAGAGAGAGAGAGAGAGGGAGCAGAGAGAGAGATTAAACATCGTCATATTTCAGACGACGTGTCGCCGTCTAACGCTGCTCGCGGCGCTCTGCGCCCTGGGCGCCACCCTGGTAGCCGCCGCGGCCGCCGACGCCAAGACCCGTCCCGTGCTGCCGGGCTCCATCGCGACCTTCAAGGCATCGCAGCGCGGCGCGGCCGCGGCCGCCGCCTCCGCCCTGGACCTGCGCAGGGACAACCAGACCATGACGGCCGCCATAGACGCGCGGCGAGCCATGCTGGCCGCGGCCAACGAGTCGCGCACCGCGAGGCCCCGCGAGGAGGACGCCGTCGGCCAGGGCGACGGCGACGGTGAGGGCGACGAGCAGAACCCTACGGCCTCGGCCAGCGCCGCTGACGAGGACGAGGACCAGGGCGACGAGCACCGTCCACAGAACCACCGGTGAGGTCTAAAATACATTCATATTATTCACGGACATTTGTGTGTGGGGTGACTTTTAAGGCACAATCTAGTAAAAGCAACAAAGCTAGCTCCTTCGTAGAGAACAAAAATAGGAATGTACTGCATCGACCCTGGCTGATTCTTCCCGTCCATCCCCAGGGTGGTGGAGCCCACGGCTACCGCTCCCGACGGCCGCTTCGCCCCGAGCACCGAGCTCGGCCCCATTCCCGACCAGTACGGCTACGAGGGCCCCACCAGGCACATCCACATCCACCAGCACCACCTGGGCGCCGCGGGGGCCACGAGCGCCACCGGGTCCGGTGCAGCCTACGGGGCGCCGTCGGGCGCGGGGTCCTCGACCGGCCGGAGGCCGACGCCCGTGCACTCCCCCGGGCTGTCACACTACCGCGCCTCCGGCTCGTCCGCGCCCTCCGCCCCGTCCGCGCCCAGCGCCCCGGGCCACCACGCCCACGTCCTGCTCAACTACAAGCCCCTCAAGTTCGAGAGCGAGGAGGAGCTGCAGCAGCACCACCACCACCACCAGCAGCAGCACCAGCAGCAGTACAGTGTGCACGAGGACCAGGATCACCACCACTTCCACAACCAGCAGGCCGTGCACTCGGTATGAGGCGCGGCAGGGCGAGGTGGTGCGACCAGGACGCCGAGAACACCCGGCTCATGTGTTCGTTTGTGATTGCAGGCCATCGCCGCGGCGCACCCCGTCGGGCATTCGCAGGCCGGGGAGGCCACCGGGGAGCTAGCGGTGGGCATCGGACTGGGGGCGGGCCTGGCGCATGGTGTAGGGGCCGGGGGCCTCGACGGCGGCCAGGGAGGAGGTCTCGGGGGAGGTCTCGGGGGAGGTCTGGAGGGCGGGGCCCTCGGCGGTGGAGCCGCGTTGGGCGGGGAAGCTGGTCTGCAGTACCCTCTCCTGGGATCCGCACCATACGAACCCCCGAAGGCGTTACCCAACATCGGTGACCACATCACATTCTCCCACCGGCCCAAGGAAGTCAAGAAGGGCAAGTCGACAAAGTAAGCACAACTTCCGCAACTTCTCAAGTTATTGGGAATGTCTCGTTTCCAGGGTTGCTCCATCCAAGGAAGATGCTCAAACTTCTCCCTGATTTTCAGACTCAATTTTTCATTTCTCTCTCCTCATTTGGCCGTCTTTGGCCATGAGGTCGGCAACCTATCTTACCTTACCAACACCGCTATTCGTCCTCTCATTTTATTAGCTCACGTGGCAATTACAGACCTTTTAACTTTCTTCCGCAGTATTTTCACATTTTTTAAATTTTACGTCGTTTCCCCCTGATTTTCTTGAGTAGTTACGTTCTTGATTCGGAACGTTACTGAAACCCCTTTATAAAACTTACAGCCTCTGGAGGTCAGCTCTGAAAGTGGTGGCGGGCCTCGCCCCGCTCGCGCTCCTCGTCGCCGCCATCTCGCCCAACGTCCTGATTATCGACCCCCGCCTGTAAGTAAAACGAAAAGACAAAATACACACAAATTTACACACTATACCAAGTCACGGTATGACGCGGACAATTCACTGGTAAAAACTGAAAAGAGCGTAAGTCCACGGACTGATTTGCATTGGACGCACGCCCTTCTCACGATGCAAATCAGTCCGTGGACGCCCTTTTCACTTTTTACGAGTGAATTCAGAGAGCGACCCTTTGTGTCTGCGCAGGGGCACCAGACAGCGCTCCTCCGAGGGTCAGTTGGCGGCGCAGCGCTGCGAGCAGCGCGCCGTGTGCGAGGTGGCGCGCGCCACGGGGCCGCAGGCGCTCAGCGCCCTGCGCAACAGGTGGGTAGGCCACCGGGCGCTCGCGCGCGCGCTACGGGCGTGGCCGTACGTACCTCACAGGCGCTCACCCCGTCGCTAACCTCCCCCGCTTGCCTCGCAGCCTGCCCCGCTCCAGAGACCAGGCGATCGAGCTGGCCGCCATCATCCAGGCCGTGGAGTCGGGCGCGTGCTCGCAGTTCGCGTGCGCCCAGTACGACGCCCGGGCCAACGCGACGGCCGCGGCCGAGGTCGCCGCTGCCAGCAGCAGTAATGCCAGGGCGGTTCTGGTGACGCCGGGGCCGCCGTCGATCGCGACCACGCCCATGACCGCGACCAGCACCTCCGCGACGAGGAGGGTCAAGGAGCGCAAGAGGAAAAAGGTGGTCAAGGAGGCTGAGGCCACCACAACAGTAGGGCCACCGGCCTCCTGAGGGTGGCCACCCTTGTGATTCTCAACAACGACTGAGGTAGCGTTAAGACAAAGTTTTAATTTAATAAAAAACAAACCAACAAAACAAACAGAACCAACGCTGGGCAGGCACAAGAGTGTTGCAGCAAATGTAAAAGTGACCTTATAAAAGTGAAATCTGTGACTTTAGATTCGTGAAGGTTCATTCCTTACGCTATATAAACGAGTGTGGTCCACTCAATTAATTCTCGGGTCCGGACCACCTTGTCGTTGTTGTGACAAAGAGACACACAGAGGCAGAGAAAGAGATAGAGAGAGAAAATGGGAATTAGAGAGGTCCTCGACAATGGAAATGGATGCCCCTCTTGGGTCGCCTGTCACGATTGGAGAGGAAAATATGTGGTTCCTCGCCGCCTGTACCTCTCACGGAAACTAGTCGCGGGGTGCAGCGCCGTGGAGCGCAGCGTCAGCGGGGACCACCAGCGACCAGGGTTCGTTCGCATCGCTGCTGCGTCATTTAAGTGGAAGACAATTGGCAATAATAGTCGGTTACTTGCTGTTTCGTCATCTCAAAGCGCGCTTTACGGGAGAGGAATAAGGTGGCGTCGGAAAAGGACTACCTGTTTCACGCCTTAACTGCGAGGTGTTTCGGCCGGCCAAAGGCAGAGGACCTTTAGTTTTTTCCTTTCCTTTTAGCTGGCGTGCTGCCCTGCCGCGTGCCGTCGCGCCCCCTCCCCCAGCCCCCGCTCCACGCACACACAGTCACACACACTGATTTCTGGATTCTCACTTTCATCGCCAGTCACGCGTGGTCAAATCAACAACTGATACGAGCACTACCCCCCCCCCCTCCTCCTTTTCCACCCTTACCATGTGCCTAATTGCAAAAATAAAATGAAATATGATTTACTTGGCCCTGGCGGGCACACACACGCGTTGCACCGCGACGCTTCGTAACGCGCACAGATCGCAGCTTTTCTTCACAATAACTGTGCTGCATTTGTGACGTCATTGTGTGTGAGCGAGCGCAACGCCGCAAACGTGGGCGCGCGCGGACAAAAAAGAGAGAGCAGTCCAGGAGGGATCATATGGCCGAGCGATGTGTGTGTGTTTTGTGGCGAGAGGAAGCTCAAGCGTAAGCGGGAAGGGGAATGGAGGG